TACAAATCAATCGGAAGATGATTTATCTGAATAATGGACAGAAATATTTATTTCTTTGAAACGGATACACCAGCACTGTCGGCCTCCTTTGTATTTACTGCAAATTCGCATATAAATGAACAAATTACATCTTTCACTAAACCGAGCCAGTTTTTTTAACTATTTTTTCAATGACGGATTAATTCAAAATATTATGGACCAAACAAATTTGTGCTACGTTCAAACTATGAGAGAAAATCCGTCAACCTCGTCCAAGGATTTGACCAAGGAATGGCGTACAACCATTTCAGAAATGCGAATATTTTTTGCAATTGTCATGACAATGAGTATTGTACAGAAACCGGAAGAAAAGTTGTACTGGACGAAAAAACATTCAATCTACACACCATTTTTCGCCAAAGTGATGTCGCATAGAAAATATGTCTCGATAAAAAAATTCCTCCATTTTTCAAATAGCGAAATCTTTTGAAAATTTGGCTTGTGTAATAAGCCTCAATCATAAGTTTCAAGAAACATATACACCACAGCAACATATAACAATTGACGAAAGTCTTATGTTATGCAAAGGAAGATTGGGTTGGGTACAATACATTCCAATGAAACGTGCCAGGTTTGGAATAAAAAGCTATTTTTTCTGCGAATCAAAATCTGGGTACATATGTCAACGCATATGGTAATGAATCTCATGAAATCATTATTGAACAAAGGTTACTTTTTTATTCATCTGTTGAGTTGGCGAATTTTCTCGTCTTACATACTACGTATGGAACCATGAAATCGAATAGAAAAGCTAATCCAAAATATTTATATCAACATACCGGAAAAGGAAAGTAATGGTTATGAGACATAAGGATAAAATGATGTACTCTTTCTTTCTACCATACATGGTACTAATTCGACCAACACCTTTCTAATTATCCAGTAGCCAGAAAACAAGGAAAAAAATATTACAAGAAAATGTTTTTTCACTTGATGGAACAGGCTCTTGGGAACGCTTTTGTTTTGTATACAAAACAAGAAGATAATCATCTCTCTAATTTAGAATTTAGACTACAACTTATTGATGAGTATGTAGAAACATATCATAACCCGGAATACTGGTCAAAAGGTGGACGTCCAAGTAAAAGCCCAAACCCATTACGATTAACGAAACGTCACTTCTTGGAACCAATTTTAAACACAAACAAAAATTCTCCCCTCAGCAAGGCCTTTCCCAAGGGTGTCCCCTCTCCACCACATTCTATAATGTGTTTTGTTGCGATATTTACAATGACAACCGAATTGCTCTTAATTAGAACTCGTATGCCTTACACTACGCTGACGACAACAAAAATTCAAAAGTTGCATGGCCATGTCTTGCTAACTAAGCTGCAAATACGTGGGAATTTTCACTGACAGTAGGTTAAAGTTTTCCATCATGGTGAAAATTAAAGCTATAAATCATGCGGAGCACTTCAGATGTCTGACATACAAGGGACGAGGCATAGCAACAAAATACGCTACACATATCTACAAGACCATCTGACACGTCTAGAACAAACCTACTTTTTAAGCCTAACAACGAGCTCCTATACAATCTTACCAAAATCCCTCCAACCCATCTCCATCTACAATCTTTATACCATAATGCTGCCAACAATCAACTTCCCTCTTGATACCTTAAAAAACGTCTTTATCACTACCCAATCACGCTACATGTTCTACGTAAATTATCACAAAAATAAGAAGAAGCCAAATTCAATCCAAGATTATCACCGACAGAAACACTATGGTCTATAGCCCTTTGGGCCGACGTTCAGCGCAGTGTTTTTTTTTCTTTTTTTATATAGGTGTCCCGAAACTTAACGTCAAGCGGGTACCGGTTGAGAGGTCAACTCGTATCTGTTCTGGTAAAAATAAGATAAAAGTTCTATGTCTCTTAGTTAAGTGGTAATAAACATATATTAAATGTTAAAAATCGTTCCCGAAGATCATCTTTAGGTACTACGGTTAGAAATATTCGCAAGTTAATGGTGATTTTTTTAATAATGTGATCCTTATTAACCATGTTAACCAACATATAGAAGTCACAAATCAAACAACAGAAGTCGTTAGTTTTGCGAAAAAGTATTAGTTTGTTTGAGTTAACCCATTTAGTCCCACTGGTGTGATAACGCATCAGCGTTTTTAAAATTATTTTACAGCCATACATTACCAGATTTCAAGGTGCTAGCTGTTTGTACTATAACACTATAAGGTTGTTAGGCTCATATCAAAATAGAGCAAAATAGAGTTAGATACATATCAAAATATATCATAATTCTTGCTATTTAAACCATATTTGCATCAATTCTTTTCGATTGAAAATGTCTGTTCAAAATATACAATAGAAATAAAACTATTTTTAGTGCATAAAATTTTTTAAAATTTTGATATTTGCAAGGTTTTAGTGCATATTTTCCTCACATATATATTGAAACGCGAAATAAAAATATGAATTCTGAAAATACGTCTTGAAATATTAATGGTGCAAAAACACACCATTGGGATCTATGATGAGATATAAGGATTACATCATCTTTCGTATTATCAGAAACCAGTTTAAACGCATTTATTCGGTGAATTCCCTAGATATAGTCGTTTATGGACATAGTGTGTCAATACATGTGTAGTAAGTTTAGCGTTCATTTACATGAAGAGTGCTTTGCGAAGTATCACAATAAATGATCATACTGTTCATCCCATTGGTGCGTTCTTGCACCAATTTTAGTATAAATATTTTTTAGATTAAACTTCATACTAAAGTTGGTATTGTTAGTATTTTGTTGTATTAGTATTGTATTGTATTGTTGTATTATTTGTTTACGACTAATTTATTACTTAGTTAATAATTGATAATCAAAATGTTTGTGTGTTGTTGTTCATTTATCTTACCAGTGGTGCATTTTTGCACCACCTCATATCTCAAAAACAATTTTTTTATTCAAACAACTATGTACATTTTTATACTTTGCATTCCATCTTATCTTAAGAAAAACTATAAAAAATCGATTTTTTTAAATATAAAGCATAGTGGGACTAAATGGTTAAGGTTGAACAAATTTATTTCTATTAAGTTTGACACACGATTTCTAAACAATGGAGTATAACAGCACCTTTGAAAAGTGATTGTAAAAGATGGCCTGTTTAATCAAGATTCCAAAATGGTACAACACTTACCACTGTTCTTTTCATAAAAAATATTATTGCCTGTTTTTCTGCAAAAAAACACGTTATTTAAAAAATCATACTATCGTATGCTATTTGTATTTCCTCCAAACTAATTAACCAACTTTGATAGAAGATGTATTGCTCAATACCTACGGAGAAATGTGGTTTCAATAAGCTCATTATGTTCGTCCTGCAAGGGATTACTTGAATACAGAATTTCCCGAAAGATGGATTGGCGCCGTGGTTTGATTACGTGGCTTCCTCCTTCTCCAGACCTAAATCCCCTTGATTTTTTACGGCGGTTGCATAAAAGGAAAGGTATATTCAAAACCGATTGAAAATACATAATTTTTACAGCAGCAGAAGAAATAAATGCAAGGAGATTAGTGCCGACGGCAAACAATTTGAGCATTTGCTTTAGTAGTTGCTTAAGAAAGTAATCCAATGAAATTAATAATTCCTTTTGTTTCATATTGTCTTTAAGTTAACTTTATTCGAAATAGTCCTTTTGCAAAACATAAGGGGAACTTTTAAAATCACTTGCCAAGGGTGCTGTCGTACTCCTTTTTTTAGAAATCGTGTGTTAAACTTAATAGAAATAAATTTCTTCAACCGTAACTCAATCAAACAAATATTTTTTTCGCAAAACTAACGACTTTTGTTGTTTGATAAATGACTTCTATAGTAGCAGTGTTAATAAGGATCACATTATCAAAAAAATGACTATTAAAGTGCGAACATTTCTAACCGTAGCATATGATCTACGGAAACCATTTTTAACATTTTCAACAATAGGTGTCTCAACCCAACTCGCTTGATGTTGAGTATAACCATACCCTGTATACTAATAAATTATATAAAATATATATTTTGTTGTTGTAACTATTTTAATTTGTATTTTCTGTTGGCCTGAATAAATATTGTTCTCTCTCTCTCTCTCTACAATTTTTTTTGACTTTGCGAAGATAACCATTTTTTACGATCATTTTTGAAAAATCATAGTGAATCGTACTCTTGATATATTGTAATGAGTTACTCAGCATTCATAGAAGAAAGTATGAACTTTTTCATAAACAAAACCGTATCTGAAGATCTCTATTCGTGCTTGAGATAATAATTTTAGAACTTAACCAGAATTGTTAAGATTTTATGAAGATAACAATTTTCTACATCCGTCTTCAAAAAATTATGGAAAATGAACTCTTGGTATATTTTGATGACTTACTCAGCATTCATAGAAGAAAACATGAACTTTTTCTTGATCAAAATCGTACTTCAAAATTTCTCTTCGTTCAAGACAACTTTGAACTTGACCCGACTTTGATATAAATTGATATAAAATTAACAATTTTCTTTTACATTGTGTTAAATTTATCGGAAAACAATGATTTCCCCCAATATATTATATTGATGAGTTATTTACGATTAATTGAAGAATATAGGAGCTGTCAACTAAACAAATTCGTACTTGAAAATATTTATTTGTTCCTGAGATAATATGTCTCAGCGTTGAGAAATATATTAAAGAAATTTTAAATGGAACTCTAGGTTCTACTAAAGTCTGTGATTTATACCCAATGGAAATAACAATTTTTATAAAAATTTTGTTCACAAATTGACTGCCTTATTTACTTAGAAACCAATTTTAGTTTATAAATTATTTTATAAAATAATAACATAACTAAGTGTATTTATTTTAGCGTTGAATAAGTTGACATTTCTTCGTGCCATTCGTGAAACGTCGTGGTCCTTCTATAAATAAAGACATTTAACGCGAGCAGTAAAAGAATAATCGAGGCAGAAACGGACGCACGGTAGGAGCTGAGGCAGGATTGCTTCAAATTCCGTTCGTAAAGCAACGTTAGTTTCATTTGAAAGCGCTACTGAACACGAACGACGGACGATTCGTGATGTATTTTTGGAGTTTTGGCTCTTAATGCCGTATACGAACAGTTCAAATCTCCCGTGCTTTGGTGTCACCAGTGCAGTGCCGAAGTCTTCAGTGATGGGTTAGCTTGTGCGGCTCTTCTAAGTAAAGTGATGCGATATGTTCGTGGAAGTCATTCGGTGGTCAGGATTTCTTCAAATAGTTATGATTGTTTTCAATTGCAATCTTAGTGTTTCTGCTCCTTATAGGGAATCTTCGAATAGTAATAGTAAGTATTATATAGAGTAACATAAACAAGCTCGTTTTAAGCAAGTAAACTTTAAAATTCTAAAACGGAATTTGTAGTTACAGTGCCTTTACAGATTCGATTCAATTACGGTGTGTAAATCCTTAAACAGTTAAAGTAAATATTTTGCTGTGTGAAGTAATGAAAAACACTACATCTTCCTAGAATTATTAAAATTTAACAAGGGATGTTTCAAAATGACAGATTTAAAGTGTATCCAAATTGTGTATAATAATTGAGTGATGGATGGCTGTGTTTATGTTTCGTGTAAATATTTTCTTATAGACGTTGTAAGGTTATATCTGGGGTTTGTTTGTTTTGGTTTACCTTATCCATATATAAGCTGCTATATCTAATAATACTTATAATAAAACTTTGCATGTAATTGGCACGAGTCCTTAATTAGTATTTACACAACCATTTTTTTGCGATACATTTTGTGGGCTAATAATAAAAACTTTTTTGTGATAACAACATTTTTTACAAAAATCTAGCCACACATATTTATGCATAACTACAGGAAAATATGTTTGAAATGTTATCAAGAAAAATAATGAAGGTTACAACGATATTTACTATTTTAACGTTTACACTAGATATATTTTACGTTAACCTGATTGAAGCGTTTGTGTTACCACGATTCAAAATTAACATTGATTTTATAGTGACGTTAATAATCCGCGAAGGACGGACTACTTTTAAATGCCCAAGAGGACAAAACGACACGCGGTTAGATTTCATTTAATATGCGCATATTAAACCGGGTTTCCGTGTTCACTGTCGACACCGTTCTTGATCCAAGAATGATGAACACTTTGCACGTGCCACACGAGTCGTGGTGCACTCAACCCGCAGTGCAGAGACGGCGATATTCGCACTCATCGGAGTCGGGATACCAAGATCCATCCCGAATCCCCGGCGTTTCCTCTCGCAAGAAATCCGCGCTTATTAATAACTGGAACGGGATGGGAGATGCTTTACCTTACTCACTTCGAACCGTAAAATCGTTCAAAAACTATTTCTGTAGAGCAGCTCGCGTGAAATAGTTTCAAGTTTGCGTCGTAGTGTGTCGTTTTTACTTCAGGGTAGTCTCCCCTGGTTGGTTACTAAGATGATTTATGTTCTGAAATGAGATTTAGTGTTTCCTTTGCTTATGTAAACTTAAAATAATCCTACCCAGTAATTGATTTTTTTGGATCATGGTAAACACGAAAATCGTTACAAAAACAACCATGATTTTTTTATATCTTTCTATCTCGGTTTGATGCTTACAAAATAGAAAAAGAACCATGGGGAAATGTTAGTAAACTCAGTTGAAAGAGATAAAAGTAGAATCTCTAGTTCGCATCTAGTCATTTTCTCTGGTTAATTAACTCCACTATTTTCCTGGAAACTACAGATCACGTCACCGAGACTTAACACAGTAATATACCACAATAAAATTCATGAAACGTTTTAATTCACATCATAATAAATTTGATTAAAAAATTTAAGTCCTACCTAAACATATATTTTTAAAAATCTCGTACAAAAACGATGTTATTTAATTTCTTATGAATGAAACGCAATTAATTTTCCAACTTTTGTTTGAAAAATGCGTTTCTTTTCATCGTAATAAAAGTTTTATAACGTTAACAATTTTCTACAATCATTTTTAGAAAATCGTACTAAATGTAAATGTTTATATATCTTGATGATGTGCGCGATTTTTAGATGAAACTATGAACTATTTTGTGAATAAAACCGCACTTAAAAATTTATTCGTTCTTGTTTACAAATTTCTACGTTTATTTTTAAAAAATCGTGGAATACACACATTTGTATATTTTTATGAGTTACTCACATGTATAGAAGAAAGTGTGAACTTGAAAATCTCTGTTCTTACTTGAGATATAGATACATTCTTGCCAATCATTAAAAACTCAAAATAATTCAAAAACAAAAAAGACGCGCGAGATTGTTTTCTCTGTAGTATTTATAGAAGTAGTCATTTTAGGGGTATGTCAAACCCCACCTTGTACGACATGTGAGATTAACATAATCCGAATTGTTATGACTTTACCAAGGTTACAATTTTGATTATTACATTTGAGGAGCTATTTTACATAACGTAACAAGTCACACGAAGTGTTTTCGAGAAAACCAGAATAAATTTAACTTGACTTGTATTGGACTTATGGTTCGTAAATTTCTTGAATAACATCTTTTTTTGTTCGCTTAGACCTTCAACGTTTTTAAGAGTGTCCAGCAATTATTTCATATCATAAGCTAATCTATTCCAAATATGTGTACTTTTTTAATTTTTTTGCAAATTTCATGGTAATGGTCAGGTAAAAGAATTTGTGCATGCCTTCTTAACTACTTTTCAACACTTCCGAAGACACTATCTGCTGGGAGATAGAAATGGCCAGTCACTGGAAAAACTACTTCGATTTCTTTAAGGTTACGTGATGAATGCGTGTAAAGACACCAGTACAATAGATGGATTATATAGTTATTTTTATTTTGGCCACCACAGCCATCAGCAAAGAATCTATTTTTTCGTACAACAGCCCAATCATTACTATTTAAAAAATGTGAAATTGCCGAACCAGTTAAATTCGCGCCTCTGCCGCATTCATGTTCAACCCACATGTAAAAGTGAGGTGTAAGGTTTTCAAATTAACAATACAAACATACATTCCAATGTATAGTGAATAGAAACATTCTTGAATAGGAAGTTTCGGGAGTTGCTGAACCTGTTGTAGATTAAAACAAAATGATGCAAAACCTTCTTCTTCCTTCTTCATCATTAAGTAAGCTCAATGATTTATTTTTGACTTCTGAAGTGCAAATGTCGATTGCTGGTTTGTCAATTTAGTTGAGAATATTTTGTGGAAAGACGAATAGTTTACTTGAAGGTGGTGGTCCACACTTTCATTATACATTTTCAACATTTTATTTATGTTAGCGTAGAACTCAAGTATAACCTCTTGGACTTTGCCCTATTGTAATGGCTTTCAACCCCTTTAAAGATTCCCCTATAAAGTTTATAACCTCTTCTTTTTGCTTCAACGTTTTATTTTTCCACCGATCTCCACCTGTATTTTCCCTGAACTCCGTGCCAGCATTAATATGTTTTGCAATCCATAAGATTCTACGATAGGGCATCTCCAGAAGTTTTTTCAAAAAAAATTCTATAGAACGAGAACGCTTGTCTGTTTGTGCAGCTCTATAAGATTAGAAACTTTAAACAAACTAGTGTATTTGAAAGTGGTGAGGTTTCTTGGTAATGAAGTTTTTGCGATCACGATGTCTCTTTGGGTAATGCACTTTTAGTAAATGAGATAATCGTACATCTTGGTGTAATTTATCGTTATCGTTATAAACTGTCTTTTTGGTGTTTATTAATATATGTTTTGGAATATCATTACGTTGAAATTTCTTGTTATTGGGATGTACACACTTTTATGAGAATTTTATTTATTTCTTCAATGTGATTTCTGTAAGACGAACTAGTAATTATTATTTTGGATCCTACACGTCGTTTCTTTCTTTGCATATTTTTCTCTTTTGAAATTGCATGAGGAATAGGTGAAACGTATGAAACTGGAACATAACTACACAATGGTTTCTGGTCTGCGTGATTGTGTGATGACGTGGTCGCCAGAACTTGTAGAACGTTGTATATCCGGTGTTAGAAGAGGGTTTAAATTTTGTTTCTTTAAGAGACCCAAGGTTGATCCATTATCCGAATTATCATCAGGTCTAGGGCTATATCCATCTTGACGAATTTCTGATGTTACAGGAGAAGGTATTGTGACACTAAGAGCGTCAGCAGCTTCAAAATCGCTTTCTTGAAATACGTCCGCGTTATACGGGAAAATACCTGTCTTTTCAAAACATTATATAATGTTGTTTGGTGTGAAAGCCTTAATGAAAGCATTTTAGAAAATAATGGGCATATAATAGACACAGGCCAAAAGAGTGGTATTTTTGCTCCTATCCAATGACATTGTTCCCACTTGTTTTCTTTACTTTTCAGCGACGATATTTCCGGGTTTCCGGGTATTGCCTCGGTTGCGGTTTCATCGCAATTTAAAAATGTGTATTTCAAAACCTAGCAGTTAATGAATTGTAATAGAGTATTATTGTGTAATTACCGATCGATACATTGTAATGTCCTGCGAGTTAATCTAAATTATTTCCTGAACGAGACAATTCACGTTGCGGTCATAGCAGCTATAACATTATGTCGAATACAATTCAAAATGATAATTGGATGGGAGGAGTATTAAATTTGATCGACTTTGACAAACGCTGTAATAAGCGGGATACCGACTGTGCAATTATTCAATAAATTGCATTGTAAATACCGCATTGGGTTAATTTCACCCCGATCGGTTGTTCTATAAATCGCATTTTATGGAATTTCGTATACTTCTCTAAAAGATATGTTGTATTTGTGACTATAAATTTTCTGATTAGTATCAGTATAGTGTATCTAAAAGTTCTAATTCCATCTAAAAATCTTTTTGGCTCGAGTCAGCCTGTGTGTTCGTTAATTCAAATTGAAGTTTTCGGCCCACTGTTGCGCAGATTCCATCGGAAATTCAATCCCGACAAAATACATTTAATTAAATTAAAATGCCTCCATTGCAGTGCAGGCTGTAAAAGCCAGCGATGCAAATCCATTTAATGACGAGATTTAACGATAAATCATATGCAGATATATATACTTTTCAGTTTCTAATAATTAAACGGCGATCATTGCTGACGAGAACGAATTGCCTTTTTTTTTGTAACGCGAAAATAGCTAAACGAAAAAAGTGCGAATTTGTGACCAAATTTCTATGCTTGGTTATTTCCTGTCAGCGATACACTTTTATATAGTAAAAAAGCAGCCCTAAAAATTGACAATAAACGGCAGAAAAATTTCCGGTTATACGCATCGTCATTGCAGAACACAAAAAAAGTAATATAATACGTATTATTATTCGTAT